TGAAGTTGGATCGGTTATGCAGTCGACCCGTTTCAAACCGGATTGAACCGGTCAATTTTCCGGTTCAACCGGTGAACAGGTGGGTCAAACCGGTTCAACCACTTTTTTTTCTTATTTTTTTTAAAATTTTTTAAGGGACCATAAATCACAAAAATAATAATGAAAATTGAATCTCTTAATGAAAAAGCAAGGAGTCTTATTAAATATAACAATGACTACTTGTTCTAATATATTTGTTTGCAATATATACAACTTAAATAACTTTTATAGTATATTATTAATTTTAAATTATATATTTAATAATGCAATATCTATGTAAATATTACATATATTATTTTGTGATATTAATTGCAAGCATATTATATATGTACATATTATTTATATTTTTAATTTGTATTAATATACCGTTTAACATGTAATTTTTTATGTATTTTTTTACAAAATAAAAATAAAAATAATTTTAAATAAGATAAAAAAAATTAAATTTAAAATAAGATATGAATTTATTAAAATTTATAAGTATAAATATATTTAATATGAATATTTTTTTAATAAAAATAAATAAAAATCGAGTCATGCGGTTCAACCAGTGACCCACCGGTTCAACCTTTGACCCACTGACCCAATACCTTAACCAGTTCGATGACCGGTCCGATTTTTAAAACTATGCAATGATGTCATTGATCTTGCCTTAGTCATACCCTATACAAAAGTTATAGCACCGATTAAATCTATTTATTTATATTAATGAAGACTAAGATTGAATTCAATTTTTCTTATATTTTATATCTTTAATATAGACTTGTACTAAAAATAAAATAGATAATTTATAATGCTATTAAAATTCTTTAAAGAGATTAATAATTGTCTTACATAGAATATATCTAATCCTGATCTAAACTTTTCATATCCAAAAAGAAAATAAAGTTGAAGTTTAAGGAGTGTAATTATTGAAAGATTAAAGGTTAAAAGAATTGAATACTTTTTTCAAAAATAAAAAATCTCAACCATAACTTCCACCTTCCCCTTAAAAATTTGAAGGTTAAAAGTGTTGAATACTTTTTAAACAGGATATCCCCAGCTGAAAACTAAAAATCAATCACTCGAATTACTAAAATTTATTTAAGGGACCATCGCTCCCAAAGTTTTTCATTCACAGTTTCGCAGAGACCCATTATCAAATCTAATGCTGTGTGTATTTCTACTACTTATTGGCGTCGTCTCGCATGGAACATAAAATTGCATCGAGAAACAAATAAGGGATCGCTGCCCACATGCCACAATTCAACCTTATCTTATTACCAGCTTTGACCAAAAATATAACTAAATAGTTATAAATATTTCTACTTGTTTAAATAAGAGATCCATATCAAATAAATATTCAAACAAATTTGAAATATCCAATCATTCGCATTGCATGCAAACTACTAGTTCGTAACGCCAAAAGAATGTGCAAAGAATTGTAACATTAACATTAACTTGCAAAAATTACAAAACCCAAACCCATCAAATACCTAAAGAAAACATGTTGGATTACTGAATATGAAAGAAATATTTTTCGTGAATAAATCATCATATTTGTCCTTTTAATTTTCTTATGAATGCGTTTGGATGATAAATTTTAATAAATTCAATTTTGTTAAAAATTTCAAATGCTTTGATTAAAATATTTTATTTGAATAAAAAATTTATAAAAAAATTTAAAGTTCAAGTATATGTAAAACTTCTTAAAATTTAAAATTCTTCCATAAAAATTAGAATTTAAAATTTTCTCTCTTTTCTCCTAATTCATCTCTTTACTGTCAAAGTCAACATAAAAATTATTAATATTTTTTAATTATAAATATTTAAAATCATTTTTAAAATTATTAAATATCATATAATAATTATTTTTAAACTATTAATTTTATAAAATTAATATTTATAAAATTTGCTTAATATTTAATTTTATAAAACTTATCATAAATTTAGTTTTATTTTCAATAAAAGTTAAATTTCACTATTCAAACTAAATATTTAAAATAATTAAAAAATGATGATAATTAAAATCAAATAACTCAAATTCTAAAAATTTCAAATTCTTTAAATTTCTAAAGTTTAAAAAAAAACAGAAAGAGATAGACTCCAATCGAGGATTTCTTTCACTTAGGTTGCAATATTGCAGTTCCCTTAGCCACACCCTATCTCAATAAAGTACTAAATGATTTTAATGTTTGTCTATGTTCTCTCGATAGAGAAAATCTTTGCTATATTACTATTACTATGTATGTATATTCAACAAATGCTGCTGCCATCTGGTTTTATATGCAAGACAAAAAATTACATCAACCATATTCAGAAATATATCGCAATCTTTTCCCATGTGTCATTTAGGGATGTATTTCTCTTTCAGAAAAAAACAATAATGCACTGGTTCTATCAATTGGAACACAGCTCCCTACTTTCAAACTACGTATTGTCAAACAAAATTTCCAAAAAGAATCAAAATGGAACTGCGTATGGTAACGCATATATTTCGATCTCAGGCAAATTCTGAGCACGAGGAGGCCATGGAGTATTTGAAAACGGAAGGACATAGGTCTCAGAATCAGTCTTCTGTTTCTTTGAGACCGGCCTTGCCTCCTTCGGTTCAGAACTAAATAACCAATCTTCATCTACTGGGTCCAATCCATCACACGCTATTGGAGGAATCTGTAACAAGCACTTGAACAAAGATGCAACTTTTTCCATTTCATCGTCAACAGCAGTTTTTGTGACCAAAGCAGCATCTACAGGAACCAAATTTTGCTTTGCTTTGCCATGCCTAGAATCAGACTTCCCAATAACCTGTTTGGGCTCTGACTTCACGAGACAATGCAACTGACGATCACTTCCATGAGTATTTTTAGCAGCAACCGCATCTCTTTGGACAGAATTTGGCACGGCTTTGCCATGTCTAGGATCAGAGTTTCCAACTGCCCGTTTGGGCTCTGTAATGGCGACTGGTTGCACCTCTGTAGTGGGGGGTTGTTTCACCTCTGTAGTGGTAGGTTGTTGCACCTGGCGATCACTTCCAAGAGTATTTCTAGCAACCACAGCATCTCTGTTGACTGAATTCTGCACGGCTTTGCCATGTCTAGGAACAGCGTTTCCAAGAGCTCGTTTGGCCTCTGTATTGGTGAGTTGTTGCACCTCTGTAATAGAGGGTTGTTGCACCTGGGGATCCCTAAGAGTATTTTTGGCAACCGTGGCTCTATGGACTGAATTCTGCACAGGTTTGCCATGTCTAGGATCAGAATTTCCAAGAGCCCGTTTGGACTCTGTAATGGTGAGTTGTTGCATCTCTGCATCGGTGAGCCTCTGCACCTGGCGATCCCTTCCAAGAGTATTTTTGGCGACCACAGCATCTCTATGGACTAAATTCTGCATCAAGTTGCCATGTCTAGAATCAGAGTTTCCAAGAACCCGTTTGGACTGTGTATTCTTGAGAAGGTGTGACTGAGAATCACTTCCAAGGGTACTTTTAGTGGCCACAGCATCTCCCTGAACTGAATCAAAGTTCCCAGGAACACGTTTGGGCACTGTATTCTTCGGACATTGTAACTGCCGATCACTTCCAAGGGTGGTTTTAGTGGTCACAGCATCTCCATGAACTAAATTCGGCAACACCTTGCTACGACTATTAACAGAGTTTCCAAGAACCCGTTTTGGAACTGTATTCATGGGACGTTTGGGCTCTGTAATCATGGGACGTTGTGACTGACGATCACTTACAAGGGCAGTTTTAACTAGGGGATCTGCAATTCCCACACTTCCAGAAGACCCCACATTAAATTTTGATATGGGTTTTGATTCTTCAGGTTCTCTATGCTTCCTCAAAGGAAGCCTAATTTTGATAGGAAGTCCTGTTTCAAACAAAGTCCAAATTAGATTCAAACACAGGTCGCAAAAAACAACAACAAAAAATAAAATGACCAGTTTCAAAGCTCCCTCACCATGATCATGAGTTGATTGAAGGGAGTTCCTTTTCCTCTTGCTGCTTTGAGTACTATCAGACCAGCAGCATGGCTCCACAGATGTGACTGGTTGTTCAAGTTCCTCTGTAATTCCACTCCTCTCAATTAGTTCATTCTCACAGTCTTCACCCTTTTGCAACTTCGTGTCTGCTTTGGTTTCCTTAATTTCATTAATGAGCTTGAACTTTTTGCCACCATCATTGACATGAGAAGTTGTTGTTCCCTTGATAAGCTTGACCTTTTTGCTATCACTGCCATGGGAGGCTGTTGTTCCTTCTGTATGCTTCCTTTTTTTGCCATTCTCATTGCCATGAGTGGTTGTTGTTCCGTTAATGAGCTTGAGCTCTTTGCCATCATCACTGCCATGAAAGGTTGATGTTCCTTCTTTAAGTTTCTTTTCCTTCTTTTCTTTCCTTCTCTCCTTCTTCTCTCTCTTCTTCTCTTTCTTCTCCTTCCGGTCTTTCTTGGCCTTCTCCATCTCCATTCGGAACTTTAGAGCACGAGAATAACATTTTCAAATAGTGGATAGGGAAGAAGACCAAAGAAACAAACATGCTATGCAAGCATTTCAATCTTGCTTCACGATGCAATTGCAAGTACAAGAATTATTTTACACCTCCTACAGATATCTTGGTAGTCAAGAACAATTGTTTCAGCAATTGCGAGAACTATAACTACTTTTTTATTTTTCTCTCTCACATATCCAATACAGAACTTTAACCCATGGGTATGAACATCGAGCATCACCCAAATCACCCTACTAATCAAGGATGACTGGGACTCACATGATCTCACATCTTTAACACACCTAACCTAATAAACCTAACATGCAGTAATGTTTATAGATAAAACCAGTCGAAGATTTGTACTCCCATTTAAATTACAGAAATCATTGTTTAAAAAGAGAAAAACTATAAACAATTTAGAAATTTTAATTATCTGTTAACATAACCATTTATTAGCAATTTGAAAGAATTGCATGCATTTTAAAACCCTTATAACCGAAATCCTTTTCTCACTCCCGCCAAACAATTTCAGTTTCGAAAAACCCCAACTTAATTACCCAAAAGAAAACCCTAAAAGGAAAAATCCTCAAGGATAAACAGATCATTGGTGATGACAAGCACAAATCTCAGTTTTAGGGTTCGATTAAAACACTAAAAAATGGTTTAGGGCATTGTTTGGTTCTATTTTATCCTAAGCGCAAAGGGGCTCCCAATTTCATGTAGAAAATTAATTTCGATCAACATGCAGAGAGAGTTGAGCACAAAACGCAGAGAGAGTTGAGCACAAAACGCAAAATCAAACGGCTCAACAACACACCTTAATCGATTCGATCAAGGCCTCGCCACGTGCCCCATACCCAGGAGGGGGGAACGGGAAGCAACGAGACATCTTCGATTGATAGGTTATACAACGTGTTTCTGGGTTTGGGGTTTTCCCTCAAATCACCGCAAAACCGCTTGGATACTGTGGAGGCGAATCGAGAAGCGCGGTGGATGTCAGCTTTCAAGAGAAGGGAAAAGAAAACCTAGGATCGGAGGTGGTGGCTCTGGCAAGAGGGCTTCGCAGAAAAGAAACCCTAAGATCTGAATCGCCTAAGCCAAAATGAGAGAAAGTATGAGGCAAAGGGTGTATTTATAGCTGGGGAAACCGACTTCAAGTAGCACACGGTTTGTGATGTACACGCGGCCACGCGTATTGGTTCTTTTACGATATTACCCTCACTACTCCCACTATCAATTACAACATTTTAAAATTGATAGAACTAAAGAATAAAAAGTTTAATTATTTTTTATTTAATTTTATTCATTTTATCTTTTTAATTTTAGATTTAAATATATTTTTAATTTCTATAAAATAAAATTTTAGTATGTATAAAATATATTTTTTTTTTAAATTTGAAATTATTATTTTTGATCGTAAAAACTTGATTTTTTTTTTATAAAATATTTTTCTTTGATTTTTATTTATATAAAACTAAAATTTATTATTTTTGGTCCATAATATTCATTTTAAGGTACATAAATAACCTTTATTTTATAAATTTATAAAAAAAAAAGTTAAAAAATGTCACTTACTAATATGATATCAAATACAGTTGTGATTGATACAAAAAATAATCATCAATTATCGTATGATAAAAAAAAAAAGCTAACACTAAACACATAATATTTGAGATAAAAAAACAATTTCATTTCTAAAAAGATGCAAAAACAAATAAAAATATTTATAGAAACCAAAATAAAAAATAACTCATCAATCAATATATCAATATATATATATAGGGAAATGGTAATATACTCACATATTTTTTTAGTTAGAGTATGCTAACAACTTACACCAAGATTTTAGGATAAGAAAATCACTCATTTATTTTGATTTGATTAATTTATATAAAAGATATTATAGTAATTTAATTTAATTTTAAAATAAAATAAAATATTTTTTCTCTCTTAATAATTCATTCTCCAACTCATTTTTTTCTATTAACTAATTTTTATTTGTTCAAAGAGAGGGGAGATATCATGAGAGATGAGAGAGAAATGAGTTAAAGAAAGAATTTAATAGAAGAGAGATAAATGAGTTGAAAAAGAAATTTAATAGGAAAGAGAAAAGGTTTCAAGAAGGAATTTAATAGGAGAGATAAATGACTTAGAGAATGAGTTAATAAGAAAGATAAAATATTTTATTTTCTTTTAAAATTAAGTTAAATTACTATAATATCATTTATATAAAGTTTTTTTACACTGATAACTAATAAAATCTTTTAAATTATTTTATTTTATTTTTATTTTATTAAATAAGCAACTGACATGACACTATTAAAAGATTTGGTTGGTTGTTAATGTAAAAAAACTTTACACTGACATTGTATAGGTGATTAACTCTTATATAAATTAACCAAATCAAAAGAAATTAGTGATTTTCTTGTCCTAAAATTTTTATATAGGTTGCTAACATACTCCAACTAAAAAATAGGTAGAAATATATTAGCATTCCCTATATATATAAAAGAATATTTTTTCAAGACAAGTGTCATCTTTTTTGGTGAGTTTGGTTTCTTGCTTATATTTCAAGGTATCACCCCTCTCTTTCTAATCAATCAAAAAATTAGATTTATTATCAATTTTTATTTTTTTTACAAAATTATTTTTATTAGTGAGTTTTGCTATCTATACCGACTGGAACATTATTTTTTATTTGAATTGATTTTTTTTAAAATTATATTTTATAATTAATTAATCATCATTAATCAATATCAATCAATCAAATATATATATATAAAAGAAGATACCTTAAAACTCTTAAGGATCCTTAAACCTAAAATCCCTCATCACAAATTAACAACTCAATATAAAATGATTAGGAATAATTATAACACTATCACAACTTACAAAGTTACATCTTTATCATTTTTTTTATTTGACTTTGTTATATATATGTGTATGTGTGTGCGCATACATACATATTATTTTATTTTATTTTATAAACTTTTTTCTGACAAATTTGATTTCTTTATTTAGTTTGATTTTTAATTTCTCATTCTATATATATTAGAATAATTATCTATTTTATAAATATTTTGCTTATTTTACACTTTCTCTTACTTGTATTCTTATTTAAATATTTTATTATCACTAAGAGGTAAATCATGCAAGTAATTGAGTAGGAAAATGAAATATATAATTTTTATCATCTTATTTTCTTGAATATATCATTTCTATTTATTTTAATATTTTTTATCTGTATCTTTTTTTAATATGTTATTCTTTATTTTTTTTTTAAACATTATTAATAGTTATAAATAATTTTGTATCACTATATAATCTAACTAATAAATTAGTTTGTGTATTGTACAGGTTTATTAGATAATTAAAATTTATAATAAATTATATAAATAAATAAAAATTATATCTAAATATATATATTATATTAAAATTTGCACAATTAGATATTATTAAATATATAATTTATATTTTAATTTTATGAGAAATAATTTATATTGTAAAATAAAATTATTTTTATTTTTTGATAAATAATTTTAAGATGTTAATAATTAATTCATAAGTAATTATGAAGAATAAAAATTGAATTAGACGATAAATTAAAAAAAAATTTACAAATCTTCTCGTTGAAAAAAAGTTCATAAAAACTCTCACACAATAGTGATCGTAATTAATATGTAAGAATTGATATTTTAATCGTGGACATAAACTAAATTATACATAATAGTAGGAGAATAAACACTTCGTGCCTTAATATATTACTTTTGAAATAATTTTGAAAAAAATAATTGTTAAATCTAAATATAATAGTATCCAATACAAAAATGAAAACTAAAAAAGTGGTTACCAAAACTTATCATCTTTATAATAAATATAGATAAATAAATATTATATATTTTAATATATAAGTTATATTAATTTAAAATTTACATAAATAAATATTTTTGAATAAGGATGACAAAATGGATCAACCCACTCATTAAAAGTTCATCCTACCGTTAATCCGCAAAAATGGAACAGGTTAAACTGGCTCGTTAAATTTATTATATATTAAAATTAATTACATATTTCTATCAAAGAAATTGCATTATGTCATAAAATTATTTTTAATAATTTATTATTTATTTTAAAAATAATAAATTTTAATTTATAATTAAAATTTTAAATATATAAAAAAAATTAAAAGAATTCTTAACAACTCTTATTAAAAAAAAATTTTAAAATGCTATAGTATAAATATAGGGTGAATTTTATTTATTATAAAACTAAAATAAAATTTATATATTTAAAAATATTCATTTATCGTAAACTTTAATTACAACTTATTTTATATATTAAAATAAAGATTATTTTTTTAATGATTAATTAAAATATAATATTTAATTCAAACATATAATCTTTATCTTTCTAGAAAAACATAATCTTTGTCTATTTTCTACAAATAAAATATTTTTTTATTGAAAAAATATCTTTCTAATCCACTCTTGTATTTATAGTTTTATTATTGATATTTTTTAAACCTTAAATATTCTAAATGTGTTGAATAGTTATTTACTTCCTCTATAATCTTTATAAAGTTATAAATTTGAGTTTTTATTTTTTAAATTAAATCATTTTATGATTACTTATTTATTTATTAAAGTATGTGATGACTTCTTTTATATATACTTACAGAAAAAGGCATTTCATATCTCTTTTAAAAAAATTAGTGTTTTTTTTTTAAAAAAAAAGTGATAGTTATTATTTTAAAGAAGGTAATTATTATTTATATATATATATATATATATATATATATATTTTGTTCTTATTTCATCTTTAAATATAAATTAGTGAGAAAAAAATATAATATAATATAAGGTTTAATCATATTGAAAAATGTGGACATAAAAAGGAAGATTCCCTTTATATATTATTAATGGGGTTAAGACACTTTGCTCTTCTATATTTATTGATGAAGGCCCATGGACCAAGGTCCAATCACTAGGGCAATGTTTAGGAGATTGGAGGAGGAATGAGCTAAAACAGAGGAAATAAAGTCCATGGTACTTTTTAGTTGGGTTGTATATTGAAGTCCATGTAGATTAGGATTTTAGCCCATATGGGCTTGTATTTGTTTTGTGGACCTTGTATTTTGGCCAAGTAGTTTAGGGTTTATTTTTGGGCCTTGTATTTTAGCCACATAAATGATAGGAATGGCATATGCATATGAATTTACATTTCATGTGACTTAGATTCACATTTAGGGAGAATTTGACACCATGTGACCATCGATGTAGGGAGGCGCACATGGCATGCCAACTTCACCTCAAATGAGAACCAAATCACATTTAAATATAAATCTCACATGATAACACATGGGAGATCCGAGAATCTAGGCTAGGCATCCAAATTTGAATTTTCAAATTCAAATTTGGCACCTAGAGTTTAAACTAACCATACCATGGTTATGTTTAAACTCTAGGTTAGGTTAGCTTCTTTAATACTCTACCTTTGTCCATATATTGCTTCTATTCGTGTATTTGGCCTCACTTTGAGCATATATGAGAGTTTATTTTCATAAATTTTCTCCTTCAAAGACTCGGTCACTTACTAAAGAGAGTTTGTGAGAGTTCTCTTTGTAGCTTAGGTGATCTTGTTCCATCCGAAGAGCTTAGATCAAGTTCTTCCTTCTTTGCTCCTCCTTCTTCTTCTTCAATCATATCCTTGAAGGATATCAAGGAACACAAGAAGGAGTTGGCATGGACATTCAAGGAATTTTCATCAATCCAAGACTCCATCAAGTGCTATTAAGAGCTCGGTTCTTCAAGAGATAAGTTCACTAATTCAATTCATTGAACCTATCTTGTTGCTCATCAATTTGCTTCACATGTCTTGAGTATATTGTTGTCTTAATACATCAATTGATAGATCTAGCTTTTGGATTGTTTCTAATTCTTAAATCATGCTTGAAATTGTGCTTTAGGATCCATACCTTTGTACATTTTCAATTTGTTTGAGTCTTGTTTGATTTTAAAATTTTTTTGGTCATATGTTGAAGTGTTTGAGTCATTTTAATTTTTGAATCTATCCAAGTATTGTCTAGAGTCATGTTTAGTCCTTTATATG